CGCCAACTGTTAGGGAGATAAATAAATGACAGAGCTGCCGACGGACTGTGGGCTCAAAGGAGGGAGATTTGTCTCACTTTAGAAGAAGGACCTGGAGGGCTCAGCCCCATCGACTCGCTCACCGCGCTCTTGTCTGCCAGGGAGGTGGTGACACCGCAGCAATTAAGACAAACTTTGGTCTATAAGTTCGCGCCTGCAATCTCCCGGCCTCAAAACAAGACAAATGACACCGCCAAGGGAGGAAGGGAAGTCTTTTCCAGACTCTGTCCAAAGTCACAGTGAATATTTGTAGTTGTTCAGCAGAAAATTTGTCATTAAGAGGCCTGGCTCTGTTGCTCTCCCCCAACCCCCAACCTGGAACCACATCATCCATCTCTCTGGCCTGGGCCAGGCCACCTGCAGCTGCCTGGTTAGAGCGCTCAGCTCACCTTTCAGGCCTGACCACCCACCTGGGCTGGGCCCCGGGTTGGGCTCTGGGCCACAAGGGCTGTAACCACACCTGCCCTCCCAATATATTTTATTGATTTTTCACAGAGAGGAAGGGAGAGGGATAGAGAGTTAGAAACATCAATGAGAGAGAATCATCGATCAGCTGCCTCTTGCACACTCCCTACAGGGGATATGCCCGCAAACAAGGTACATGCCCTTGACCGGAATCGAACCTGGGATCTTTCAGTGGGCAGGCTGACGCTCTATCCACTGAACTAAACCGGTTTGGGCTCCCATTGCCTTTTTAGAGGATCTCACAATCCCTGGGGTTCTGAACCGGTATTTCCCAGATGGGAAAACCAAGGGACGGCACCAGGAAGGGTCAGGGGGCTGAGCGCTGAGGGCCTCTGTGCCCCCAAATCAGGGTGGCAACTGCTTCCCAATGTGACCCGGGGCCTGTAAGGACCCTCTTGTCCCTGAAACGCTCCTCTCGGGCTCCCGTGGGCCTGAGAGGCGGAGGCTGCATCCCATGGGGGTCCGGCCCTCAGGAGGCACACGGGGTCACTGAGGGCTGGAGCGAGATAGAGCAGGATGGTGACAAGCCCTGGGACTGGGAGCTGCTCCCGAGCGCCCCTCCTTCCATCCTGCCGGCCTTGCCGCACCTTGGCGCACCGTCCACGTGCCCGCCCGGGCCAGGTCCTGGGGATAGATGAGAGGGACTCACTCTGTCCTGGAGGGGCGCAGTCTGTACCCAGGGGAGGGAGTAAGGAGCCCCCAAGAGGAGATGCTGTTGGAGGCGGGCCTGAAGGGAGAAGGGGCTTGAGACCATGGAGAGAGGACGGGTGGGTGCCTGTGGGCAGAGGGAAGAATTCACTCCTGCCTCTCTGTGTGCCAGCGATCAGCCCACCTTCCATCCCTGAAGGCAAGGCCAGCATGGCCTCAGGGCTGCCAGGGAGCCTGGCGGGGTCACACCGGCCAGTGGGCCCTGCTTTTCAGCCAGAGGGATCTTTGCAGAACTGCTCGGGCGTCACACCGTTCCACATCTTCCAGAGACTGCAAACAAGGAGATGCAGATTTCGGGGCTGCCCCAAAGCAGGGGCTCTCGACCTGAGCTCTAGGGACCCGTTGTGAGCAAACTGTGCGCGCGTGTTGAGTGCATGTCCTTCTGGGGCAAGGCTCTGTCTCTTTTGTGGGATGCTCATGGGGGCCGTGCCCTGAGGGGCGAGAACTCCTGCTGCAGGACCTCAGGGCTGGGAGGGCTCACACTCAGGGAGAGATGCCCTGCGCTTCCTGCTGAGGAAGCGAGGCTCAGGTGGAGACATGCTTTGCCTGCTGTCAGCCTGGAGGCTGGTCTCTGCCCAGGGCTTCGAGGTGCCCTCCACGGAGTGCCTCACATTTGAGGGTGCCGTCTGGGTGTCCGGAGGAAGCAGTTTCCTGGGCCCCATTTCCAAAGGTCTGTCTGCGCAGCCGTCTGTGTGCACATTAAGCTAGAGCAGTGTTTCCCAAAGTGTGGTACGCGTACCCCCAGGGGCACGGGAAGAGTTTGGTGGGGGTACGCGTTGCACCGGGGTTTGGTGGGGATATGCACTGCACCGTGCTTAGCTGCGCCTAATTCTACGTTCTCATGAGTACGAGGGGTACTCAGCGTTACGGAAATTATAGAAGGGGCACACATATGTCAAAAGTTTGGGAAATACTGAGCTAGAGGATGGGGCTCGGGTGTGTGCTCACACACATAGTGCTTGGGGAGCTGACTCTGGGGCCCTGATTAAGGGTGGGGTTCTGAGTTCCAAAAGGTGCTTTGCTACTTGCTAACAAGTCTCTAGGCCTCTGTGTGCTTGGACAAGTCTCTAGGCCTCTCTGTGCTTCAGTCTCCGCATCTGTAAAATGGGCAGAATAATACCACCTACCCCAGAGGATGGCTGTGGAGATGAAACAGCACGGTGCTGGCATGGACCTGCTCATTTCCCCCACCTCCCTGGCATGGGCTTTGGGGATGACATGCTTGCTGGGTCCATCTTCTTCTCAAAGCAAAGATAGGAGTGAAGTCTGGGTGGTGGCCGGTTCATATTCTGGGGTGGTCAGGCCCCTCTGGGGAGCTTCTGAACGTTCCCACTCACTGAGCACATTTTCTTTGGAAAGCTCTCCCTGTCCTGGGCACAGACCCAGGGCCTCACCCAGTTCTGTGACTTCCCAGCCCCCCCCCCCCCCCCAGCAGGTGCTCAGTAAGGAGATGAATGCGAGTCCAGGCCCAGGGGCAGCTGGAGGCCTGTCCCACCCTGAAAAGCATTACTAAAGTGACAAGCCCACCCCTACCTGAGAAAACAGCGATGCCTCATGTGGGGTGGCCCCTTCAAGGGCACGGACTGAGCCTGGCTGGCAACCAGAGCCTGCCACTGTGGCCACTCAGCCAACAAATGTTTACAGGGCACCTGCTTGGCCCGGCTCTCTGTTCTTGGCACTGGGGACACCGTGTGAAGAGAACACCCGGATCTCTGCCCTTGTGGAGTGCTCATGGTGGGTGGGGACGAGAGGAAACAGAAGAGAACATTGTGAAGTCAGTGTTTTGTCACGTGGTAACAAGTGCAATGGAGGACATGGTGCCAGCAAGGAGGGCACGAGACCCAGGAAATAGGTTGCTCTTTTAAGGAGAGTGGCAGGTCAGGGCTCTCTGAGGAGCCCTTGGGACAGCCATCTGAAGGGTGCAGCGAGCAGGTGGACACATGGGGAAGAGTTCCCACTCCAAGCACAAGGGTCTATCGTAGTTGGCATAATCCAGCTGCAGTAACATACCAACACAATGGCTCAGGCCTCGCTCATGGGCAGCCCAATGCAGGAGTTCCTTGGGTGGCCCTTCCTCCAAGTTCAAGGACTCAGGCTCTTCCATTTGTGGCTCAGCCTTCCCCACCTCCTGTGGCAGGCCTTCTTTCAGCAGGAGGATGGAGAAAGGGTGGTGAAAAGGCACATCTGCAGAAAGCTTCCTGACCAGGAAGCAACATCCACCTGCTCATTCTGCCAACAAGCCCTAGTCCCAGGGCTCCTGCTCAGCGCATGGGGACTGGGAGGTGCTGTCCTGGCCGGGTTGTGCAGGGCCAGGCAGTGGCTTCCTATTATAACCTACCCTGTGGCGGGAGCATGGTCCTTCATGCTGGCTGGCTCTCTTCTGGGGCCTGCCGGCGTGTCTGGATGCTCAAGGATCCAGAGGCGGCCAGGTGGCTGCAGTGGGAACAGGTGTGGGAGGGTTGGAGGGTGATAGGAGTTGAGGTCAGAGATAATGGGGCAGACTGTGCAGGGTCACACTGGCCATTCTTGGGCCTTTGGCTTGTCCTCTCTGTGAACTAGGAGCCCTTGGAGGTCCAGAGACATGACCTAGCTCGGTTTAACCCGCGCCCTCCAGCAGCACGTGGAGCACAGGCCGCAGGGGCAGGTGGGAGCAGGGTCTGGGGGAGGCTGCTGCCCGGTGGCCCGGGCATGGGGCTTTGAATGAGAACAAGTGGTGGAAGCAATACATTTCCAAGAAGAAGACAACAGGACTCCCAGGTGGGCTAGATGTGGGTGTGCAGGAGAAAGGAGCCACGGCCGAGTCCCGGGATGCAGCTCGGGCCCTGGGCGGACGATGAGAAGTGGAGGTGCTGGATGTGTGTGGCGTCAGTAGTTTCTCAGTGGGTTGGGATGCCACTCAGACCTCCAAGCCTCTCTGAGCCTCAGGTCCTCGTCTGTAACAAGGGGGTCAGCACCCTTACCTGGCAGGTGGTTGAGAAGTTACCTGAGGAGATAGGAGGTTCACAGGGGTGGGGTCCAGGGCGAGGGCGACAGCTTGCTGAAGAGGAGCCAGTGGTGGGGAACGGGTGAGCTCCTGCCCCTCTCCTCTCCTCCCCTCCCAGGTTAAGTCACTGTGTTAGAGCCTCTGGTGCTGATGGGACAGCCCAGCCTCCGCATGTGGGACAAACCCCAGTCCACAAGAGCTCAGGGTCTAGGATCCTGTCTTCACTGCTGCCTCAGCTACCCCTTGCCAAGAGACTTGGTCCCAGGACTTCCGTGTCTCAGTTCTAGGTCAGTGGGCTGGGCTGTGGGCCTCTTTCCAGAATGTCGGAAAGCATGGGGTGTGTGCAGCTGCCTGGACCAGGCAGCTCCAGGCCCAGGAGACTGTTGGGGCCACATGCCCTGCCCCCAACTTGGGTGGGTAACAGACAACCTAGTAACATCCCCCATGGGGAGGCAGGAACACTTTTATTCCCATCAGTGATGCTGATGGCGCTTGTCACTTTACAAAGAAGAAGGTTAGGAAAAGGGAAGAGGGGCGGGCGTAGGAGCCTCCATGGGCCATGCCCCCACTCTCCCCGCTTCCCTCTGTCAGCGCCCCCGGACCGGAGGGCGAGGGCTTCATCCTGGCCAGGTGGCCAGACCTGGCACGATGGCTCCCAGGCAGAGCTTCGCGGGCGGAGCTGAGGTGAGGGCGGGCAGCCCAGGCCCAGCAAAGCTCTTCTGCTGCACACCGCGGACAGGGTTCGGTGTGACAGGCGGGGTTCCCCTCGGTGACCGGGCCTGGGCTTCCGGCGCCCTCCGAGGCCTCAGGGGGGCCCCTGCTGGCTCCGCCTCTCCTCCAGCGCCCGGCACACCCACGTGGACACCACCGCCGCGTTGCCGTCATTGAACTGCACGATGAACGGGTGGCCCTGTGGAGAAGCGGAGAGGCTGAGGCAGGCGGTCCCCGGGCTTGTACTTCACGTGTCAAGGCCTGTTCTCAGCCTGGGTCTTACTTTCCTCCCCATAGCCTGTGAGGTGTGGCGGGCGGCGAGCAACCCATTTCTCGGCTGGAGGACTGAGGCCCAGAGCGCAGCGATGTGCTCGCCCGGAGCACTGGAGCCCTCAGACTCTGCCTGGTGCTGGCCACCTGCCCCTGAAGTGCCACCCAGCCTGAAGGCTCCCCCAGGCTGAGGCCTGTCCTGACCCCACACTGCCCCTTCCTCGGCCCAGCGTCACTCCAACAGCTGGCCGGCCACGGCCTGGCTCCGAGCTGCCAGTGCCCATCCCAGCCACTGCCCGGTGACCACAGAACCTCTGGCCTGAGGCTGCGTGAATCCTTCCAGGTTCCTTCATGGTCGAAACCTCTATGAAGAGGCCACAATCTACAGCAGGGGCAGGTGTGTCAGAGGGAGGGGCTGTGCTGTGTGCAGAGGTGTGGCTCCTGGTGGGAAGCTGGGGCTGGGCTTTGGCGGGGCCTCTCTCAGGCCCTCACCGGCTTCGCCACAGGCAAGCTGGGCTATATTTAGCCAGTGCCCTCCCTGCTGCCCTGAAAAATCAAGGTTAACACTCACAATCTTAGGGCCTCCTGGGAGTTCCTAGGGAAGGCCGGAAGACAGCAGGGGCCACGGGTCGAGGGTGAAAGGAAATCAGAAAAACCTCCTCTTCCCTCCTCCTCACCTGTGGCTTCTCTGCTAAAAAACACACACCTGGCAGCTCCCGCACCAAAGCAGCGGCCGGTCCCAGGAAGCCACAGGGGTGAGCGGAGAGAAGGGGCTCCCTGTGCCTTTCGCTGCCCAGCTCCTTCCCCCTTCCCAACCCCAGCTCCAGCTGCCTTGCTCCCTCTGTTTTCCATGCAGGCCCCTTCCTGCCCCTGAGCTGGGCTCTCAGCTCGGCTTTCCCAATCCAGCCAGTCTTGACCTGCAGGCCTGGGGGCTGGCCGGCCGCTGGCCACATGCTTAGAGCTCAGAGCTGCTTCCAAATGAGCCCATTGGGTGGCTGTGAGGGAGGTGGGCCAGGGCAGGGGAAGGAGATGTCTGGGGACAGGAAGGAAGCAGGCCCAGGCTTTTTCACTGTGGGCCAACACTGTGTCCCTTTACCCAGCTTTCCCAAGTCAGGCAAGAAAAACCACCCCCGGAGAATCCTGCACTGCTTCATCTAGCTCAGAGGCCGCGGACCCTGTCAGAGGCGCCAGGGGAGGAAATCAGCTTAGAGGGTGCTGGGGGCTCATCGAGGGAAATCGGCCTGGAGCCCAGTTGGGTGTCTCCTGTGACCTGCCCACGGCACTCTGTGTTGGGCCCTAAGATACTTGTAGGACCACAAGGGAGCAGGTGCCGGTTCTGACTGCTGCTGGGAAAGGGGAGGTGGGACCAGGTGGGTGGGTGTCCTCGGGCAGTGGGTGGGGGAGCTGAGGCACGAGAGGCCCGCTGGGGCTCTATCTTGGCTCCCACATGTCCTCCCTGTATATGCGCCCGCCAGGCCTACACCTGCCCCCTTAAGTGGCTGCTTTGAAAGGGAATTCTTCCCGCACTCACTCCTTTTCAGGAGGCTCAGGAGAGGCGACCTGTGCCCTTGTGAAGAACAAAGGGAGAAGCTGTGCTCCAGAGCCCCTCCTGCCAAGCCCGGGTACCAGTGTCACTTTCCCAGAATGCCCGGTGACTTTGGGGCCCATATGCTCCATCTCTGTTATCATCTGCTCGGGAACAAGCAGAGCGGAACTGCAGGAGGGAGAGGGGAGCATTCCTCCGGTTGGGAAGGCTGATGGCCGCACTGCAGGGAAGCATTCTGCCCAAGTGCCCTGGGAGGGGAGGAGGGAGAGAGTGGGCATCCAGGGCGCTGGTGGAGACTCTCCCCTCCCTGCCCTCTTGGCTGGGAGGCCTCCCATTGCCTGCGCACCCCTCGGGCTTTACCTCACCCTTCAAGGGAGTGACCTGGACAAGCGGTTCTGTCCTCAGCTACTGCTGACTGGTTTGGGAGGGATGAGAGGGAACCACAGAGGGAGACAGAGACACATGCAGACATTGGGGGTGGGGTGGGGGGAGGGGCTGCAGCCGCTCCAGGCACCCAGAGAATTTGGGAGCTGTTGGCAGCGTGGATCACCACGTGATGGAACATACGAGAAGCCGGTGTGCTGGGAGCAGAAGAAGAGACAGCTGCTTGAGGGAAGCTGAGCAGGGCAGAAGGTGTTGGAGACCCCGGGGTGGGATAACGGCCTGCCAGCATCTCTGCCTGCAGGGTCCATGAGCATCTCACAGTTTGGGGGCAGGTACCAAGTCACATGGGTGGGCACTTTACAGGTAAGGAAATGACTGGCCCGTCCCGGGTTCCTGGGGCTGAATCAGAAGTCTCTAACCCAAACCCACTGCCAGGGCCCTCCCGGAGCCGACCTGGGGGCAGAGGTGGGGGAATTGGCATCGATTGCAGTTTCCCCTGACCTATTTCCACCAGAATGGGACCACGACTGCAGGCTTGGGGCCCGATGCATTCCATCAGCACATCCCGTGGACACACTGGGAGAGTGCTCTGTTGCAGTGGTGGGTCACTCTGACAAAACTCTCCCTCCTCCCATCAGCCCCGTGTGAGAAGCAGGGAAAGCACACTACCACCCACTGCACAGAAGAGGAGACCGAGTGGGAGCTGAAGTGACTGGGTAAGTGCTGGGCTGAACAGAGTTCCGGTTTCTACTCTGGGGCATCCTCACGGCTGGGCTGCATCCCCGTGACCTGCCAGATGTGCTCCCTCTTCCTCCCTGACACTCCTCTAGCTCCTACATGTGATGCAAAGATTCTTCATGGACTGAAGGGAAACAAAACCTGGTGGACAATTCTGTGGAAAGCAGGCCACCTGGAGGTGCCTGAGTTCCCAGGTGGCTCCAGGCCCGAGCAGAGGCCGGCCAGCCGGCTGTGTTAGGGACCTGGAAGTGGATGGAAGTGGCACTGAGGAACACCTGTACTGAGAGCAGCACCATGGACAGAGTGCTGTGGCCAGGGGTTTGCCAAGGGCTTTGTCCTGATTTTCCCACCGAACCCCACGTTCTGGGGATGCACACAGCCCTGCATCTCCGTCGATGGGGTGAGGAAACATACACTTCAGGGGTCCATCTGAGGTCACTGAAGCAAACTCACACCGTGTCTCCTGACTCCAAAAGCCATGGGCTGGACCACGTGCTCACCTGCACCTGCAGCCTCACAGGCCCTCCCTGGTGTCCCGAGGCCCCGGGGCACTTGGGGGAAACATGCTACCCCCCAGGCAGAGGAGCTGAGGTGCGGACAAGCTCTCTCAGCCCCATCATGCTGCAAGCAACAGTGCGAGTGTGGCGTGGTCACCTCCCAGGAACCAGCATGCCCACATGCTGCTTGCCAAGAGCACGCCCCACCCCATGTGTACACCTGGACACCCAGGCCTCTGTCCTCCACACGGAGAGCGCCCTGCGGAGGCTGGCAGGGCATGTGCCAGGCCAGCGCTGCTGAATGATCTCACTGCCCTCATCTCCAGGCAGTGGGAGCCACTCTCATTTCCTTGATTCTCTCAGGGCCAATTGCAACAGTTAAGTCGGCGCGGGTTGAATTATTATGGTCCACAGACTTCGCCACAGAAGATGGAGACATAATGAAGGGAAAAGGATGGGATTGTAAGGGCAGGATGGATCCAAAAGTGGGACACGGGGGAGAGACACGAGTCAACAACAGCCAAAGACAGCTGGTGTCACCTGGTGCTGACGCCTCCACCAGTGGGGCTGAGGAGCAAATTGTGCTGACGTAAAGGAGGGTGCTGGCCAACACCCAGCGACTCAGGAATCGGAGCTGCAGTTTTCAGTATTCCACCAGCGTCTGCCTCTCTTCTTTTGTCACAATGTCCCTAATTTTTACCCACCTGTTTCATCGTGCTGACCGACAGCAGGGCACTCCGAGCCCCTGCCGTGTGTCAGCTCTACCTGTCCACTGAAGGAGGCAGGGATGGGAGGGTGGATGTGCCCATGTGCAGGCAGGCATGGAGCTCCAAGCCTCAGGTGGTGGGTGAGTGCTGCCTGAGACTCAGGTGTCTGGACTCCTGGTCCAGTGCTCACTCACTGACACCTCACTCTCTGCTCTCAGTTGGTTTCTGAGTTTCATCCCAATTAGGCATTTACCTATTTGGGGTCTCCACTCTTTTCTTCTCATATAACTTCCTAAAGAACACCATGCGTGTGAGTCAATGAAAACCTGGCCAGTATGGCTGCAAGGCCCTCAATGAGTGGTCCGATGGCATAATGAGTTATCCGTATATTCTGTATCTGTCACGAGCACCTCTGTGTGCCGCTGGCTGCCCTACATCGGCACCTGACCTTGAGCCCTCAGCACCCCCACCTATGGGCAAACTAAACTGAGGTGCCATGAAACATTACTCGGGGTGAGGTTCCAGAGGTGGAAAGTGGCGAAGTCAGGGTCTGCATCCAGGACGCCAACTAGTGTGCCCCCTCAGGTTGGGACAGTGAGAATTAAAGTTCTACTTAAAAAAGCACACAGTATCTCGTACATTATAGGCGCTCACTAAGTACTGTTAAACTAATAAGCTGAAGTTAGAGTGGCAAAAGATCATATCCTGGCCCTCCCAGCTCAAATTCATTTGGGTCAGTCACTTCTAATCCAAGAACTTATTCAATACTCAGCAACTCTATGAAGTATTAAAATTATCCCCGTTTTACAGATGCACAAAGTACAGCACAGAAGGATTACGGAACTTGGCCAGGGCCACAGAGCTTGGCTGTGCCCAAGCCCTCAGTCACTATGCTGTCCTCTCTGCTCAGTGCCGGGGCCAGAGGAGGTGGGGCCCACCTCGGTGTACGAGCTGGCTGGCTGTCTCAGAACCCAACCCCCTGGTTCTCCATTCTTAGTCTGGATTCCATAAAAGCATGAAAACAGAGGCCCAGGCTTGAAAGACATTTTCCAGTTAC